CTCTGCCATTAGATTAATCTTTTAAAATTTATACTGTTATATCTCTTCAATGGTTATTCATGCCTACAGAATCAATGCAGTTGCCTTAACATAAATGCTTTTTATAATATGGTTAAACTGGCCCTTCACCCACTCTGATCATGGCAGATGTCTTTTCTTTCACTTTCAGATGACAAATGCAGCCACACTAATGTAGGCTAAATAACCAAGAACACACAGCTCACAGTGATACCCATCCCCAGCAAGATCATGGCCAAGAGCGCACACATTTCAGGGCTTTTGCATAACTTGTTCCCTTGCCCCAAATATCATTTTTCTCTTTTCTGTTTGGAGAGTTTTGTGAACTTTTATAGTGTTTTCATATTTTAAGATCCATTTTTTACTTCAGAGATCAATGGCCAGTCCTGATTACAATAGCATCCTATTTTTTAAAAAATGCTTGAGTCAAAGGAAGTTAACTGACAGTTAAATATTTATGTAGACTCTCCGGTACCTAGCAGAATGCCCCACATATGATAGATGCTCAATAAATATTGGTTCAGTTGAAGAACTATTTGTCAGAGAATTAGAATTAACTAAAAAACAAACTGTTTGCATTATATTATGAATAATTTTATGTGATTTAAAGGCATTTTTCTGTGTTTCACACCATTTGTGGAAGAATCATATAACAGTGGAAGGAAGAGAATTTTATAGTCTGATTAATTGAACTTCTAGTTGGGAGAGGGCTGGGTAGAGTTGGGATGAGGGAGAGGGAAACTAAATGTTGTTTAATGTTGATGAAGAACCCAAGGTTGCAAGTTTTGTCTTGGACTGTCTGTACCATGTCCTGTGGAGCAGAGCACCCTAGAGTCAGATATTATCAGTGTGCATTGCTGAGGTTTCTTTATTTCTAGATAATAGTCACAGCCATGTTAGTGGGGATTAAGTAGCCAAGGGAACTGGAACCCATCCCTGTTCTGTAGAAATCCCACTATATCTGCTTTCAGACAAGATGCAAGTTAAAAGTTGGATATGCCCCACTGGATCATGTCCCTGCTCCTCCTGCCTTTCCCTCCTACATGTACACATAGTGGTGACATCATGTTCATGGATTACCCACAATTATATTTTCGTGGTATAGTCACTACTTTCTGGGGAAAACTTCCTTTTACACAGGTTTACTAAGGCATTAGTATTAGTAATTAAGATTTCAGTCTTTTAAAATGAGATTTACCAAAATCATTTCAAGTCTTGTTCTTTTTAATGCTCATCCCTAACTAAAGCAGCAACAATATAGTAATAATACTGCTTTACAGTTTCCAAACCATTTCTATAACATCTAGTTTAATCTCAACAACCTGATGAGGTAGCTGTTATTTCCCACTTTTCAGAGATGACTCTAATGCTAATTATTTCTCCCACTTTTCAGAGAAGACTCTAATGCTAATGATTTTTTTTAAAGTACATAGCACATAAGTGCCAGAACTGGAACTTGACTTTAGGCTTGTTTGATTCTAAATCAGCTTTTTCCACTCCTTCACAGTTGCCTGAAGAGGAATGTAGAGCATGGTGGAAGTATTACACGTTGTTGAACTGTGATGTGTAATGGACAGTGTTTACTCTATGTTTATAACTAAAAGAAGTCACAAAAAATAACTAGTTTTGGAAAATAAGGCCTAAGACAAAAACTAGAGAACCATTATTTGTCTGAAGGAGAAAAGACTGAAGAGCAGTTTAATAATAAGTCTTTTGGGTAGATTAAAGAATCTTAAGCAAGGAAGAGAGTGAGCCCAGCTGTTCCTAATCTATACTGAGGCCAGCCCTAGGGAGGAAAAAAGGAAAGAAAAAAATGTTAAACTGTAACAGAAAGGATAAGATAATTTCTTTTATAAAGTATTGTTAAATATTAGATCTGTTAGAGACTGTGTTAAGTCTCCTTTTCTGGCAGTCATTAAACATTTCTATCTTAACTAAATGTTCTAAAGTATGATTCTTGCAGATAGGAGGGTTTTGAAGTGCCTGATCCCTCTGAAAGACCACTCCCTTTAATGAGTTTCTCACTAAATATTAATAAGGAACCTGAGAACCAGATATCTTCCCAACTCATCCAGTTCATCTGGATGCACTCACAGGCTGTGGTGTGTGTACACTGATTAGCTACCAGACTAGTCATTGTATTGCATGTAAGTTTAGCAAACACTGAGCAGCTACTATGAGCCCATCATTACCGTAAATTCTAGAACTAAAAGATTTGATATTCATCAGTGACAATCTGGAACTCTCTGGACTCTAGTATTTATAAGGCAATCCAAAGGAAAGCCATCAGATCTAACACTGGGACTATGGGATCAGATGGCTTTCCTTTGGATGTGGGATCAGGCTGTTGAAATTACATTGGTATCAAGTATGGTTAGAACTTTCCAAGAGTAGTTTGACAGGAGTAGAGTTCCCCTTATCTTGCTGACCACAGAATATGAAATCTGGGGAATATTCAGAGTCATAGATGCAACCTTAGGTGTGAGATCTTGGTGTTTTATCCTGAGAGTAATAATAATGTAAGTTGGTAAATATGGGCAGATAATTTTGTTAGTTTGGTTTAACTTATAATGTTTTTTTGTGTTTTTTCCTTCGGTTCCATAAATGTAGTAAGTAAATTAGAGAAAATTTGTTAAGTGCAGGAAAAAGGAAGAAAACTAATAACCTTACTGATTTGTGTATGTTTGGAATTTGAAATTTTTGTTGAAATATTATTTATGCCTTTGAGAATCTGGAATGCTATACACTTCTGCTGTGGCCTTAGTTGTCTGTTTATTTGTCTGCCTCCCTTCTTAGACTGCACCCAAGCACCTGTTGCAACCAGGATGTACCCATACTTAACAGAGTTTGTGGAATCAGTGAATTATCTTAATCTCACAAGGACTACTTAATAGAAGATAGGGAAACCCTGTGTCCATGAAAGATTTGGGGAAAAAAAAAAAAGGATTTTGCTTTGAAATTGATTAGTCCAGTAGTTTTCAACATCATCAGAGAATTTATTAAATATGAAAATTCTTAGGTCCCACTGCAGATCTGTTGAATCACATATCCTGGAAATGAGGCCCAGGAGTCTAACAAGTTCTCCAAGTAATTCTGATGAATTCTTTTAGGTTTAAAACCCACTAGATGAGAGGGATAATGAGACTAAAGGGTTGTGATGAAGATCACAACATACAAAATTGAATGCTTTGAGATATATAGATATATGTATCTTTGTCTCAAACTATTAGAATAAGATATTTATACAAAGAAAGCTAAAGGTGTTATAAATAGGATCTACCTATTTTATTTAGATCACTGCCTTCGTGATTTTAGCATTTAATTAGATCAAATAGATATTGGGCTTACCTACCAAAAGGGCCCCAGATTTACAGAAATCTCAATCTGTATTTTTTGTCCTATATTCTGCCTACTGAACTGTTTCATTTAGATGTCTCATATGAGTATCAGATCTCTAAAACTGCACGTATTATCTTTTCCTTACTGTTTCAGAGAATTGGATTACCATTTGCTCAGTTTTTCAAGTCAATTATTTTTTACTCAGTTCTTACCAAATAGCATCAATTTACTACCTCATAGCTCTCAAAGATGTCTTTTTCTTTTTATCACACATTGATACTTGTCTAATTATTAGACCATATTAATTTCTCACTAGATCATCTTTACAACCTCTTAACTGGGCACTATGCCTCCAATCCTACTCACAGCCTCAAATCCATTCTCTGGTGGCCAGAAAAAGCTGTCTGAAATGCAGATCTGATTAGTTCCTTGTTTACAACTTTTCAGTGGCTCTCCATTACCTTCTTGAAGACACGCAACCTCTTCAGTGTTGCTTTTCACACTTTTAGGATGTTTTCTGCTTTCCTTCAAGCCTTATCTCTTGTTCTTGCCTCTCCATTTCCTTTGTCATTCCCTCTACTTAGCATAATGTTTTTACTCTCCTTTACCAGACTGACACTGCTGTTTAGATACTACCTCTCTAGGAAGCCTTCTCTGACCTTCTGATTTATAGTTGTTTTACATAGTGCTCTGAAATTTCCCTTGCCTATCACTTACTGCATCTTACTGTATTAGCTTATTTTTTCGTATAGCAGATCCTTGCTTTCCTCCTGCCCTCTCCTCAGTAGATTATAGGTTCCTCAGGGTTGAGACTGGCTGTGAGGCTATTATATTACCAGCTCTAACATTAAATTAGCAGATATACCACAAACATGGTAACATAAATAATAAGTGTTGTTTTGGGTATGACAGTTTGAAATAGTTTTAAAGTTTAATGGATAGAAATTGTATTTTTTACCCCAAACATTCTACCTACTCATTTATCCATTCATCTTGTATTTGTAGAATATCCTCTATATACCAGGAAATGTGGTAGGTGCTATGAATAACTGTATTCAGTTATGAAATATGCCAATAATCATTACATCAGTGCTTATTGTCTAATAGAGGAGATAGAAAATTAAACATTAGTTTGTATACAGAGCGTAGAGACCTAGAAAGAGGAAGAATAGAATGTGATGGAAAGAAGTAGAAGGGGCAGCTAATCCAAATTTGGAGAGTGAGGAAAAAGTGATACTTGAGCTAATACCTAAAAACAGGGTAGATTTCTCAGTTAAAGAATGGGAACATTGTGTTGCACGCAAAAAGAAGAGATGGTAAAATCCACTAGTGAAAAAGAGAAGGTGGCATTTTATGACTAGGTGTCAGTACTTTAAGAGGGAGACCAAGCTTGATATGCTTGGGGAGGTTTGTGTTGACATTGAAGTGGGGAGAATGCACTGAAAGCGACAGAGTTAGATAGACCAATGAGATGTAATGTTCAGGGACATCTAGAATTTAAGAGAAAAATTGTGGGGGACATAGGGTAATATGTGGATTAGCAAAATACTTTGGCAAAGAACCAACAGTGTTAGCAATGCATTGGATCAATAGAATAAGGAAAAGGAGCATTCTCTTTTTAACAACTTCTTTCTTTTTTATAGGTCCCAGCAAGTATGAGGCAAGGATTTCACAGAGGAACTTGTGGAAAAAGTCTCCATTGCCATAGTAGAGGGCTGTCAAGTCTTGAAGGAGCTGCAGGAAAGGGGAAAAGGTGAGATCTCCCCAGAAGGCTCTTGGCATTTATGGGTGAGAAGCATTCCTGTCATCTGTCTGGCCTAATAAAAACAGCACTGTTATTCAGTGGTCATTTTTGTTTCCTGTACTTGATCTTGTTGAGCAAAAAAATCTCCTGCCACTAAGTCATCTAAGATCTGGTAATGTTAAAACTGACCCCTTGAAAACATCTTCTGCTGTCAAACGTACTCCCCACTTCAAGAAGTACAAGTTTATTTTAAGATATGTCTCTCAGTCCTTTTACTACTGACAAATAAAATTTAATCTCTTTTTGGTTAAAATCATAATAGAATTTGAAAGGACTTTAAAGGTGTTTTTTTATTTCTTCATCCCTTTGTTTTTTAAGTGAAGAAACCAAGGTGAGAGGATCAGCTGAAATGATTTGTCCAAGATTTCATGGGCGGCTAGTAATGTTGACTCTCAGCAGGATCCATTCCTCCTTCTCTCACTCTAAGTGTTATCTTAGAGTGGTGGACTTCTCAAAGGCTTTGAAAACATGATTAAATTTATTGTGTTGAGAGCCCAATTTACATTTTTTCACCTTTATTGAGTTGTAATAGACAAATAAAAGTTATGTAAATTCAAAGTAAACAAAATGAATATTTCATGTACATGTGCATTGTGAAATGGCTACCACAGTCAAATTAACACATTCATAACTCATCATTACTTAAAATGCTGCGTGTTAGAGAGAGAAAGAGATGGGGACACTGAAGATCTACTGTCTTAGCAAATTTCAAGTAAACAATGCAAAATTAACTATAGTCACCATGCTACATATTAGCTCCCCAGAACTTGTTCATCTTATAGTTGATAATTTGTATCCTTTGGCCAACATTACCCAATTTTTCCCACTGTCAGCATTTGCCAGTTCATAACAAAATTTGAAATATCAAAACTGGTCTGTATACTTAAGTATAGAACTTTAATTATGTTGCTTGCACATAATGTGTTTTAAGCCATTCATACCTAGCTAATCATTAATTAGCTTCTTATATTTCGCTTTTTTCCTTTAGCACCTATTTGTTGCCATCATCTATTTTTTAAATTATTATAGCATATGTCGTTATATATTATAGATATTTTTCTTTTAGTACTTCATGATGTATATATTTTTATTACTTTAACAATGACACTTCTGCATTCTTATGGCTTCATGGTAAGATTTAGTAGCTTTTTTTGGCAGTAATATAACAGAAGAATAAACACATTGTTCATTTATTTTTCTGACTTATTTAAACATAAAATGTATTTAAGAAAGATTAAGTGGCTATTTGAAAAATAAAATTTTAGCTATGTGAGGTGGTGCGTGTTTCTAATCCAAGTGACTCTAGAGGCTCATAGGTTTGAGGCCAGCCTCACCAGCTTAGCAAGTTTCTCAACAACTTAGTCCTGTCTCAAAATAAAAATTAACAGGACTGGCATGTAGCTTAGTGTTATGGTGCCTATGGATTTAATCTCCAGTACCACAAAAATAGAAAAAGAAAGAAAAGAAGAAAAACTATTTATACCTTTGGAGTCAATAGAAAAACTAGAAATTAAACCAAGATATCATCCATTGGTGTATTCTGAATAGTTCATTATATTCATATATTTCTCGAGAAGTCATGTTACTGAGCCCCATCACAGTTTGAGGATTTAATATTTTTCTTCTAGAATATCTGACAAAGAGTATTACTTAGAAGTATGTTTGTAGAAACAGGGTACAACAGCTTTTCTTTTCTTTTTTCTTGTTTTTTAGCTGTCATTCCTTTCATGAGGAGGGCCAAAAAGAAAACAAAAAGTAATAGAAAAGAAAAGAGAGAACTAAAGAAAGGAAGAAAGAAGAGAGAAAAGAGAGAGAAAGAAGTTCCAAGTAAGAAGTGATTGCCTGGCCTTAAGGTTTTACACTACTGAAACACTGAAACGCCTGTCTTCTGTGCCCTGTGTAATTTGTGAATCAGTTTTAGTTTTCCAAGTGGAAGTGGAAGAGGTAGTATGATATTATAACAATTTGATGATATTCCTTTATTTTTTTTCCTAGAGACCTTCAGAGAGGACATGGCACCCAGAGAAGAGAATACAAAGAGTACAGGCAGAGTACTCAGAATAAGTCAGTTGGATGCGCTGGAACTAAACAAGGCCCTGGAGCAGCTGGTTTGGTCCCAGTTTACTCAGTGTTTTCATGGATTTAAGCCAGGCCTGTTTGCTCGCTTTGAACCAGAAGTGAAAGCGTTCTTGTGGCTTTTCTTGTGGAGATTCACTATCTACTCTAAAAATGCTACTGTGGGACAGTCAGTTTTGAATATTCAGTACAAAGACAATTTTTCCCCGAGCCTGAGATATCAGCCACCAAGTAAAAACCAGAAAATCTGGTACGCTGTCTGTACCATTGGTGGGAGGTGGTTAGAAGAACGATGCTACGATTTGTTTCGAAACCATCATTTAGCATCCTTTGGGAAACTTAAACAGTGTGCGAATTTTGTGGTTGGACTTTTGAAATTAGGTGGGTTGATTAATTTTTTGATTTTCCTTCAACGGGGAAAGTTTGCAACTTTGACAGAACGTCTTATAGGCATTCATTCTGTATTTTGCAGGCCCCAAAATGTCCGAGAAGTTGGCTTTGAGTACATGAATAGGGAACTTCTCTGGCATGGTTTTGCTGAGTTTCTAATTTTTCTCTTACCACTTATCGATATCCAGAAATTGAAAGCCAAGTTATCCTCATGGTGTATCCCTCTTACTGGTGCTTCTAATAGTGACAGTACATTAGCCACCAAAGGCAAAGAATGTTCTTTGTGTGGAGAGTGGCCCACCATGCCTCACACCATAGGATGTGAACATATCTTCTGTTATTACTGTGTTAAGAGTAGTTTCTTATTTGACATGTACTTTACTTGTCCTAAGTGTGGCACAGAGGTACATAGTGTACAGCCACTGAAATCAGGAATTGAGATGTCAGAAGTGAATGTTCCTTAGAAAGTAAAATTGTTTCCTTTGAGGAAAACTGTATTATGTACAAATTCTTAATATTAGTCATCCTAAGTATGGTACTTAGATGTCTCTTATAAGGCTGGTACTTCTCAGTCAACGTCTTCTCTTCCTTTGGAGAGATGACTAAATTCTAATCACTGTAAACCACATGATTCTAAATATATTATATAAAATATTTTAAATTATTGCATTCAATTTTTAATATCAGGAGATAATAAAGGAGAGTTTTTGTCATATGACTATCAAGAAAGAGTTGGGGTACACTGGAATGTGTATAGATTTATTTTCAGAGATGATAAAATATCATAGTCTGACAATGATAAGGCCCTGTTTAAACTTTAAGATTGTAATTTTAAGCTTTTCTCTGAAGCCAGTTTTCAAGAGGTTCAATCCATAGCTGTTAGACCCCTTCACAGTTGACTTCTTAGGTTTAAAAAGTAAAAATTGCTTAAGGCAGCTTAGAAGTGAGGCCTGGAAACTACAGGGGACACCTGGCAAGAAGAATATTATTTCCTGGATCTCTTTCTTTTAGTCTTTGATTCAGAGCTTATGTTCTCAGCAAGAATATTGGTAGTTTTATGAAATACCAGAGGTCTTTAGCATAGTAATAATACAGGAGTACATATCAAGATGTACTTTGCTCCTTTTCGCTGCATTTTTCACTTAGAAGTTAAAAATGAATGTTTTGCTAAATAATAATCACATGAAAATATTTGGACAGTTTTGAAGTTACTTTAACAAAATAATGGCACTTATTTTTAAACAAGATCTCATTTTTTTTTGGCTTTGACAATAAATCAAAATATAAAATAAAATAAATTGTGCTTTGATTAAAATATACATGTACATGTATATACAGACATATATTAGAAATAATTCACAGGTGAAACCACAACAAGCACTTTCCTAGAATAAATATAGTACAGTGAAAATACAGGAAAACTTGTTCATTTTTCTCTTCACCTTCCATTCACCTTCCATTCAGCAAACACTTAGGTGCCAGGTACTGAGGAAGCTACTGTGAATATGATGGTGAGTACAGGAAAAATAGTCATCATCATGTAGTTTACCTTGTGTGATTAAATGGATTTTTGAGTTTAACTTTGGTTTAACTTAAATAATAGCCAATGAATTTTGTTGTTTGGATGTAAGATTTTTTCATATGTTACAAAGTTCACCTTTTTCTTCTCTAATTTTAAAAAATTATTGTTAAAAACTTCAAAAATTCAGGAAAAAAATGAAATTTTCATTTTTTTCCCCACCGATCATCACAGTATACTGGTTCCTTTGATGGTACACACATTTCTTATTTACAAAATCATTTAACCTCTGTCATTGGGCATTTAGATTCTGTCTACTTTCTGTAGTAAGTAAACACAATGATGAATTTGGAATATCGTCAGGCCTCTTAGTTTCCACGATATAAACAAATTCAGATTGAATTGGCAAAAAGGAAAATAATTTATTGAATTATCTTAGTGAAGGATCTGCATGTACACTGCAGGGCCAGTCTGGTTATACGTCCTCATTTAATTGTCTTCAAATAGTTTCTCGGCCATAATTTTATGATAAACACTGTACATGGTATGAGGGATATGAACTCAGGTTCAACCTGTGCAGTTCAGTTATATGTAGCCTGGGCAATGCATTTAATCTCTACACTGGCACATTGTGAGGATTGTGTTTAGGATACAATAGTAGTTCCTTCCATTAATGGTAATATTCTGAGTTGGCTTCATTCTCAGGCAAAATGATGGCCACTTTTGATGCTTAAGGTTTATATTCTGCCAGCTTTCTGATTCCCCTGGAATGACATTCCTCTTCCTGGTAGTTCCAGCAAGAGTTCTGTATTATTGGTCTGTCTTGGATTACACACATTTCTAAACCAGTTACCACAGGAAAAGTGATGAAAAATACTGTTCCCACTTACTCAAATGTTGCTGACATTCCCTGTGTATACCACATGAACCTAATGGTGCTGAGGGGAGGCTGCTCATCACAGAAAACCAAGCTGCTCTTATAAGAAGGATGGATACTGGGCAGATAAAAAGAAGAGATCACTAATAAAGTTTATATTTGCCCTTATTATACCTAAAGTCCATTTGCAGTCTCATTTTCCAGTGACCTAGTTTATATTGATATTAATAAACAACTGTCTTAGAATACAGGTTTGAAATGATTAAATGAAGTCAAGATTTTGTTAAACCAACAATTTTATTGTTATTGTTATTTGATAGCTGAGTAAACTCTAAAGTAGATGCCCCTATTTTAATTTTAACATGAGAACATAGTACTTTAAATGCTAGCTAATAAAGTTGTCAATTTTATGGAGTCTTTTTTTCTTTTCTCCCCCTTGAGACTGAGTTGCACTGTGTTGTCCAGGTTGGCTTGATCTCAACCTCCTAGTCCTAAGTGATCCTTCTGCCTCAGCCTCCCCAGTAGCTGGGGCTGCTTTTTAAATTTTTAAAAAAGCTCTATTTAACATTTGCAACCTTCAGAACCATGAGTTCAGAAACTGAATGAATGTTTTGTTCTTCATTGGATAACCAGAACCTTTAGTTCTAGCATACCAATATAGAAATCTAAGCCAAATAAATAAACTTAGTGTCGCAGATTGAGTTCTATGGAAGCAGAGGTTCAAAGTGGTTGGAAATGCTAGACATAAGGAGTCATTTTTCAGGATTGGTGGGAGATAGGTTTTAGAATCTCTGCAGGTATACCAAAATTGCAGGTGCTCAAGTTCCTCATATAAAATGGCAGAGTGTTTGCATATAACCATATACATCCTCCCATATACTATAAATCATCTATAGACTATCTATGATACTTGATGCACTATAAATAGTTATGATGTATTATTTAGGGAATAATCTGAAAAATGTTATAGATATTCAGTACAGATGTGATGTTATTTTAATATTTTTTAATCTGTGATTGCCTGAATTTGCAGATGCAGAAGGAAGCTGTGAACACAGAAATCTATAAATCAAGGATCCACACCTTGAAAGGAAAAGGCAGAAAAGAAGGGAAAGACAAAAGAAATGGTAGATTGTAATGCAGGCCTGATAAAACTTAACCAACCCAGCGAGGACCTCTAGAACTGGTATTCTCTCTATTAGTCACTAGGTAGGGGCTGCCCTGGGAAGGCTGTGACCACAGGCATTGTAGTTTCCTGCAGTAATAGCAGACCCTGAAGGAGCTAACAGCTGGAGGCAGTCTGCTGACCACACTCCACAGCTGGGCAGCAAGTGTATCCTTGAAGGAGGAATTGAGTGGCATGTATTAGTGTGTCTTGCAACTGTGTTTCCATTTTTTTCTTTATAGTTTTTTTTCCCCTTTCTTTTTTTCTTACAGGATGCTTGACATACCACACACCAGTGGAAGGTAATCAGTGAATTTATGACTGACTGAAATACTCTCGTGCTTGTTCCCGGAGCTCTGCCTCACTGCAGATAGCCAGGCCTCTTGGGCACATTACAGTTCCAGAGACTGTTCAGTCCTGGCCTCCCTGGGCAATGCCAAAAGACTTTATTTTTAACACTGAGGCAACTGATTGTACTGCCCAGTGACTTCAGGGCTCAACAGGCAGGAAAACTGGATCATATTTAGCTACATGGGTTTCTTCTTTAGCCTCAAGAATCAAACCATCAGTTATAAGTTTTCCCTTTGGAAAATAAAAACTTTTACACTAACATTTTTTTCTTTTTTCTCCCATGCAACTTGTTCTTAATTCAGGTTCTCTACTTGTGTATTTAAAATATCCAAGTGGCTTCAGTAATCATCTCTAAATTTCTAAGCTAACAATCAGAGCTAACACAAAGCATGTCCTACTTTCCAGCTCCCAACTCCCCTGCCTTTGATGAGTGACTGGGTTTTGGACCGGTTTATTTAACATTAAGATTCCATTTGTTTGCCTATAAAATGGATGCTCAGTAGTATCTACCTCTTAGGTTAACAATGGGAATTAAGTCATTCTTTTTATTTATTGAGCTCCTACAGACATTCTGTACTGAAAGATGTATTCATAAAACCCCTGTTCTCACGGAGTTTACATTCTTGAAGGAGAGACTGATAAACACATGCATAAGATAACTGCTGATGTCCGAAGTACTCTAAAGAAAAAGTAGTTTCATAGATTCCATACAACAACAGGCTGAGGAAATAGAGAGTGATGCTGTATTAAATTGCATGTATAAAAGAAATCAATATGATAATAAGTATTGCATATTGGAGAAAGCCTTCAAAATATATAGCACTTAAAAACAAAACTTGACAATCATTTGGAACATTACCTTTTTAAAAATATTTTTTATTGTAATAACTTTATTTTTTTAATGTAGTGCTGAGGATTGAACCCAGTGCCTCACACACGCTAGGCAAACATTCTATTGAGCCACAATCTCAGCACCTGGAACATTACCTTTTTACCAAAAGATGTTTTTCCTAATAGCACGCAATAAGTGACATGTTACTGTTTTTTAAAAAAAAGATATGTTTATTAAGTTAAATTGCATGTGTGAAAGTCCTCTGTAAAATGAAATTTGAAGAAGACCTAAGGAGATGGGGAGAAAGCCAAGAAGAAGAGTATTAGGATAAAGAAATGGCAGGTGCCCAACTTCTGAGATGAAAGTCTTTTATGCACTTAAGAAATGGAAAGAAATTAACATGATAAAAGAAGGACAGGTGAGGTGAACGGTCCTGGAAGGCCATGCAGACCATGAGGAAAAAAAAAAATCTCAATTTATTTCCAAGTATGAAGAAGTAGTATAAAGATTATAAGCAAAGAAGTGAGTTGATAAAATTTTACATTTTTCCAGGATATCTGGGTAATTTGTGGGGAGTTATAAGTAAGAAAACCAAATCGAAGGTTATAGGAAAGAGTAGCCAGTATGAGCCATGATTGTCCTTTCTATAAGGTTTGTAGTTCTTCAGCAGTGCAAGTACTTAATTAACTTCAGTAGATTTTCATAGATTCTATACACCAAAGTTCACTTACTCGGCAGAGTTCTCAAGATCATATTTAAAGACTGCTTTATTTTAAATATTAATGAACTTTCACCAACAGAGTAAAAATAATTAATAAAAGGAAGGAGAAAAATCTATTTTATAAAAAGCCTATTTATAATAACAATTATGGGCTACTTGGTATCAAATTTCAAAAAAAATTAAAAGACTGTAATCTAGTAAAAGTAGGAATAAAAAGGCTCTGAGGACTGTATAATTATAGTTTTTAATGACCTTGTCTCATCAATAAAAGCTACCCCATTTTCTTTATAATTTGGTTAAGAAGGTAGGAAAATAAGTATTGCTATATTTAAGAAAGCCTCCAAAATATACTAGCACTTAAAAACAAAAACTTGATTTAATCATTTGGAACATTACCTTTTAACCAAAAGCTGTTTTTCCTAATAGTACTCAATAAGTGACATTTCTGTATTAAAAAAGGATATTTTTAGCAACATAAAACATACTTTCTACTCAAACCAATTGGTCCTATTGTCCATAGAATCCATGGTCTTAGGTTCTCAGGAACTAAACTTAATATGTAGCAAATATTTACACAAACCTAGTATGTAGTGTATGTTTATGTTCATAACCACAAATAAGTATTTTGCTTTCTTGTCCTTTATCTTCAGAAAAATACAAATCATGTAACAGGAGAAATTTCCTTCAATTTCCCAGGTAATCTCTTTATTTCCTTTTTTTTTTAGGTTCTATAAACTAATACATTTAAAATTAAGTAGTATGGATTATTATGAGGAAACTCAGTTATAAAGAAGTTAAATAACATGCCCAGATTCATAGAGCTAGTAAAAGTAAAGATGTTAACCTAGACCATCTTGATCCATAAATCCTGGTTAAAATTATGTCTCATACACTGACTCCTGATTCCTGTGAAATTCTTTTTTTATTATTATTTATGTATGACACTGGAATGTCTTATAATTCTTAATATACATAAAGATCACAATGTTTCATATCTCTGATTGTATACACAGTATATTCATACTAATTTGTGTCTTCATACCTGTACTTTGGATAATAATGATCATCACATTCTACCATCATTAATAACCCCAAGTCCCCTCCTTTCCCTCCAACCCCTCTGCCCTATCTAGAGTTTGTCTATTCCTCCCATGCTCCCCCTCCCTATCCCACTATGAATCAGCCTCCTTATTTCAAAGAAAACATTCGACATTTGGTTTTGGGGATTGGCTAACTTCACTTAGCATTATCTTCTCTAACTCTATCCATTTATCTGCAAATGCCATGATTTTATTCTTTTATTGCTGAGTAATATTTCATTGTGTAAATATGCCACATTTTTTTTATCCATTCATCTACTCAAGGGCACCTAGGTTGGTTCCACAGTTTAGCTATTATGAATTGTGCTGCTATAAACATTGATGTGGCTGTGTCCCTGTAGTAATGCTGTTTTTAAGTCCCCAACTTCCTTAATAAGACTCCTGTGGCGTAAGAATTAAAATCAAGAATCAATAAGTCAAGAATCAAACTAAAAAGCTTCTCGGCAAAAGAAACAGTCTGTGAGGTGAATAGAAAGCCTACATCTTGGGAGCATATCTTCACCCCTCACACATCAGATAGACCACTAATCTCTAGAGTATATAAAGAACTCAAAAAGCTTAACACCAGAAAAACAAATAACCCAATCGATAAATGGGCCAAGGACCTGAACAGACACTTCTCAGAAGATGTACAATCAATCAACAAATACATGAAAAAATATTCATCATCACTAGCAATTAGAGAAATACAAATCAAAACCACTCTTAGATTTTATCTTACTTCAGTCAGAATGGCACCTATTAAGAATACAAACAACAATAAGTATTGTGGAGGATGTGGGGGAAAAGGTACACTCACACACTGCTGGTAGGACTGCAAATTAGTGCAGCCAATATGGAAAGCAGTATAGAGATTTATTTCCTATTTTTGAGAGAAACAAAAAGGAAAAACTTGTGATTTAATTTTTTTTAAATTTAAAAATAAGCACTGTTTTTTACAGTGCCCTTCACTGAACCCTGCATTGAGTTCCTATTCTGGCAACTATAACAAGTCAAGCAAGATTAAACTAAGTCCCCCTGAGTCCATGAGGTCCAAAGGTACAGTGTTACTCAGGTAGTACACCTTCCTCATTTTTAATAGTCATATAACTTATTTTTCTTAAGAGGTTTAATTTGTACCTTTTCTAAAGTCTCAGAGCCAATAAAACATAACTTACACATTAGGTTAAGTAAGACTGATTTTCAAAATCAGGTTGATGTGGACATGTTTATATCCATTGATCTCAAGAATCAATCTGAAG